CCTAAGGCTAAATAGGTGTAGGAATGAGTCTGGATTCAAATCCAGTACCACCTGATATCAAAGCTCATGCTTTTCATCACTACTCTGAACTGCTTTTATATCTTGGAGAGAATTCATGCCTTCACTTTCCTCACTGTCTGCAGTAGAACTTTTGCTGTTGCATTAAGGTAGAGAAGACTGAATGTGTGAGGCTGCCCTATTTGGTGTAGTATCAGGAGAACCATAGTTTAGTTAGTGTAATAAATCTTTGAGGCTGCTATGCAAGAACAACTTTGCATCCCCCTCCAAAGCACTTAGGGATAGAGAATGCCCACATCCTATGCTTTTGCCAAAAGACACAAACAAGTGGGTGTATAGAGAATTGGTGGTGCAGGTGAGACATCTGACAGGTGTTTCAGGTCGCAAGAAGTTCTGCTAGGTATGGGTGGTCATATGAGATGAAAACTTTTGTTGTTGTGTCAGTGACAATGTTTTTGAAGTTATAGTATTAGGAGCGTATCAGTCAGGACTCTTGGTCACAACTCAACTCAAACTTACTTAAGCAAAAAAAATATTTTTTGTTCATGTAATGAAAGTCCCAGGATCCATTGGGCTTCAGGCCTTGCATCTAGTTAGTATTAGGAGCGTATCAGTCAGGACTCTTGGTCACAACTCAACTCAAACTTACTTAAGCAAAAAAAAAATATTTTTTGTTCATGTAATGAAAGTCCCAGGATCCATTGGGCTTCAGGCCTGCCTGCATCTAGGTGCTAAAATGTCACTAGAACTCTGTATCTATCTCTTGGCTCTGCTTTCTTCTTTGACTTCATTCTTAGACAAGATCATCCTGAATAATAATAATGGTATCCGTCAGCAACTCTGGACTTCATTCTAATAGTTTGACAACATGGTAAGCAGAGGGGCCTTTTCCCAATAATTCCAGCAGTAGTCCCAGAGTTAACTCTAATTTGACTCAGTTTGGGTGACAGGCCCATCCCTAACCTAGTCACTATGGCAGCAGATTGGAATGTGCTAATTGGCTAAACTGGGTTGTAGGGTCTGGGGTTAAGATGAACCCCAACTGAATGACCTGGATTGAGATTTCTGGTGCAAATCATTTTACTTTCAAAGTGAAGCAGGGATGTAGTGAAAGGGGGGCAAGTAAAACCAACGAAGAGCCATTATGCAGATTTTCTGGCCCTGGGACACTACTAAAAAGTGCCAGAGGGAAAGCTGGCAAGTCCAGTCTGGGTCCTGTGGCATACCAGCAAGGGCTAGGCATGAGAAGAGTGGTCATCTGCCTTCAACATCTATCCTGGTTCTAGGCACAGGCCTGACTTTCTCCTGGGTCTGTCTCAATGGAGCAGAGGAACTGGAGAGAGGGGACCATGCCTTGGTAAATAGCCCACGTGTCAGTCCTGTGAGGGTTGCCCTGCCTCCTAAGCAGCCGGATAGTGAGACATTAGCAAAGATGTTAACCCCACATAAAAAGCATGCCGTTCAATAATTATGTAAATTAGCTGGCAATTAGATAATGTCACTCACGTTTCCTCTCCTGCTAGATTTCCACACAACAAATAACTGCTTTTGAGCTTCTGCAGCAGCTTGGATAGTCCATGCAGGCTCTGGGGCAAATCAGCTACACGCGTGGCTACCTGGGCCATCCTATGGCTCAAGAGAAGGTGGCAGCTGGATGACTAGGTGGGGAGGGCTTCTGCCTCCCATTTTCCCATTTCTTGAGCTTTGGTATAGTCCATTAAAGGGCTAAGGAAGGCCAAAGGATAAAGGAGCCATTGGCTTGAGACCTGTGATACTTAATGTAAGGGGATCTTTAGCTTTTGGCCACTTTGGCAATTTCCCAGTGGCCACTGGAATGTTTCCAATCCAAGAAATAAATGGAAGGGCTGGAGGAGAGAATGTGGGCAGCCCCAAGGCTGTGAAGACCGGATAAACCCAATTCTGATGTCACCAGTCTTGAAATCAGATTCTTCCTGGCCCCTGTAGGAAAGAAAGCTTGGTTTTTCTTAGTCAGACTTTCTGATCCCCCACAATGCAGGCAGGGGAATGTTGGTACCTCCAATGCTGGGCTTGAGGGAAGGACAGATAATCAGACGAGAGAGGGTCAGTAGGCAGGACAGTGTGGCCACTCCAGAGCAGGCTGGGTAAATTCCCATGATCCTCTGCACAGGAGAGTGTTCCTGGGCAGCTTAGTTAATTCTTGGGTTTCCCCAGATCACTAGGCTTGTGCTGCATTGCCCTTTGGGGCCATCTGAAGTTGGCATCCAGAGAAGTGTGGGGGCTCAGGATTGCTGTCATGGAGCAGAAGTCAATTGATTCCCAGGAATTCTCTTCAGCTTTTCTTTTCATGCTTTATTCTTTGTACACATGCTCCCTGAGCTTCCACTCCATGCCCAGGTCCTGTGGCAGGCACCATGGTGAAGTAGACCTGCCTCAGGGAGCTCCCCATCAAGCTTCCTGAGCCTGGGCTCTTCATTGCTGTGCTTCATGTCTCTAGTCTACATTTGCCTCCACTACTTTTTGATGACCTTGAGGGTGGGAATGGTTTCTTATTCTGCTTTGATATAGCAGTGGCTGGAAGGAATCAGAGCTCAATAAACAGACTGAATTGAGCAAGTCATTTAATTTATAGACAAATAATGACTCTCAGAGGCCCAGGGGTGAGTTGATCTCAAGAAGTTTCTGGGGACTGTTCATTTAGAGGGTCTTCCATGTCCCTGCTCATCTATAATACTGGGCCCTCCATCTGAATGTCCTTGCCTCCCCCTAAGGATGCCTGTCAGCCAGTGGACTCCTTGGTCTAAATGGGCAAGGGATACCAGGATAGTGTCACTGTGAAAGCACTTACCAAGCTTCTTGGTTTCACACACAATGGGCTTCATGATGTATGACATGATTTTTACATGCTCAGCTCATCAATAATTTCAGGCTTGGGGTACCCCTTTTGAGAGACATATATTTTATGATCAAACCTGCCTTGCTTCCCCCACCTCTAAATAAAATGTATGTCTGGAAAGAGGAGGAAGGGGAGCAGCTGTCCTCTGAGCACATTTTCCAAGAGTGAACCCTTTTCAATAATTTTATTTGAGGAAATACATAGATGTGGCAGTTATTGAGCCCAGAAGGTGCCCTCTTTTCAGGACAAGGGTTTCTTCTCTCCCCTAGGATGTTGCCTTTTGCCTTGGTTGCCATCCCTCCCATCAATGAGCACATTCTAAGAGATTGGGCCATGTGTCATCTCCTGTTAGTCACCTCTGGCTTCATGTCTTTCACTCACTCCATTCCAACAGCACCAGCCTCCAATATACCAGCCTGTTCTTGTTTTAAGACCTTTGCATGGACTACTACTTCTGGAACATTCTTCTATGATATTTACATGACTAGTTCCCTCACCCTCTTTCAAGGCTTTTCTTAAATCAAACCTTCCCAAAGACTCTGATTTGTGGTGTTTGCCTATTTTCATATGTGAATGCTCCTAGCACAGTTGACTTGATGCTACCAAAGTGACATTGACTAGCTCAAAAATTTCTGAAATTTTAACAGTTGATTCTCACCTGCCTGCATGAGTGGCACTCCATATCACTGTGTCCATATTCAAGTTAAGCATCTGTTGCACCATTGGAGGTGCCCATTTCACACTTGGGAACACAATGTGTGGACAAGACCTTTTATAGAACAAATGTTTTTCTTAATGGGCTCAGTCAGCCTTTTGTTGATTGGGTTTGTTTGTTCGGTGGAAATAAGTGTGTGTTCCTGGTTAAAGAACAGCATTTTCCTCTTCATAGTGGGGTAATGACTAGCTTTGCTAATATGGTAGTCATTAAAATAGTGAACAGTACTGGTCTGACAGAGACCATGGTGAATTATCAAATATGTCAGTTAAGCAGCAACTTGCACAGCTCTTGGAAATTACACTCATTGCTCTCATGTGAACAGAGGCATCTCCACTCAGCTAGATCGGCCAGAGTCTGCCTTCAGGAACCGGATCACATTCCTGACTGGATGCTGGTGCATTTCCAACCAGTATATAACACACATGACATGCTCTAGGTCTGTAACATTCCTTAACTATTCATTTGTTGTCCATTCTGCAGTTTTCATAATTTAAAAAAATATTTGTGTTTTAATATACTGTCCCCACTCCACAGACATATGCACTCATACATACATCATACATCAATGGCTGCTCTTCTCATCCCTTCCTATCTGGACATAAGAAAGGAAGGAATCTAGTGTTCATTGAGCATCTATTATGTTATAGCCTCAAGCTAGGATCTTCCCATACATAATCTCATAATCTCTCTCCATCCTAGTAAAGAGGCTATTATTTTTTCTACTTTGCAGATGAGGAAATAGAAGCTCAAATAGGTTAAGAAATGTGCTTAAAGTTCCACATACAAGAACTAGTATTCAAACTCGACCCTAAAGCACATATTTTGACCTTTCTCCCTACCATTTAGTAAGAGATAAGGATTCTTTTGCTTATTATTCATCTTCTAATGTATTTTCGCTGATTTTTATAAATATTTCTTTCAAAAATTAAAGGCGGGAATCTGTCTTAGGCCGCCTACACCCAAGTATTATCAAGTTGGAAAAGAAAAAATCTAAAAAAAAAAAACAAACCCTCTGTCATTTTCATGTTAAAATTATGTGTGTGTGTTTGAATGTATACATTAACACTTATTTTAAAAATAAACTTTGGCTATGTGACCCTGTGATATGAATATTGTACAAATGTGCTGATATGGCTTTGGGGGTTTTATGCTATTTTTGCATGTGGAAAAACTGAGTGCATTATTAGGAGCTGAGCTGGGGGTCCTGCAAAGGCTTTGGAAGAACCCTGGTCTTCTGTCCAGTTTGAAGCACCAAGCATTGTGGGAATCACTAGAATAACCTGGCTCACAATCCAACCATATTTGTGAGCTAGGATGCAATATTTTCCTGATACATGCCCTAATCTTCCTCTCCTTCTCTCCTTTCTCCCCACCCCCTTCTTCCTGCAGGAGTCCTGGGAAGCAGGTTATGGGCAGGACTGCCTCTGGCCCACACCATGAAGCCTGAGTCTGCATCCGCTCTGCTGAGGGCCAGGCTCTGTGTGCGCACTCAGCTTCCAGCTGCCCCTCTCCCCGTAGCCCCCTGCTGCTAAGAGGAAGATCTTCAGGACTAGTCCTTGGCCTGTTTCTACCTGTCACCTGGCTCACCTCACCACCCACTCCTCCTCCATCACAGCACCCAGGACCCCAGCCCTCTCCCTGGCCTCTCTGGCTGGGGCATTTGGGGGTCCGCTGGGAGGAGTGCATTGCTGAAGGCTCTCACCCTCCACTTACCTTCTCCTCCTTGAATCAAGGCCTCTGGATCCACATGGATAGCTGAGATCTTTTCTTGGAGAAAGACACTTTGCTCCTCACTCCAGGCCCTCAGTGCCCCCACCTGACTTTCCTCCTCTTTGGCTGCCCTTTCTTCTTGCTCCTGTGCCCGTCTCACTTTCCTCCTTCCTCACCCTCTCAATATTTGTGTGATTCTTCCTTTTGTGTGCTCTCTGTCCCCCAACCCATTTTTTCTCTCTCTCTCCCTTCTCTGTGAAGGGGGATCATCCCCTGAGGGCTGTTCCCTGGCTGTCTGCTCCTCTGGGCTCTGTCTGGTCCCCACAGCCATGATGAGTTTCACCACACACTCCGTGTTCTTCACCCTGAAGGCCAGCGTCCTGCTGGGGTCCCTGCTGGGGCTCTGCCTGGGCCTAGAATTCATGGGCCTCCCCAACCAGTGGGCCCGCTACCTCCGCTGGGATGCCAGCACACGCAGCGACCTGAGCTTCCAGTTCAAGACCAACGTCTCCACGGGGCTGCTCCTCTACCTGGACGATGGCGGCGTCTGCGACTTCCTCTGCCTCTCGCTGGTGGATGGCCGCGTGCAGCTCCGCCTTAGCATGGACTGCACTGAGACTGCTGTGCTGTCCGACAAGCAGGTGAATGACAGCAGCTGGCATTTCCTCATGGTGAGCCGTGACCGCCTGAGCACGCTGCTGGTGCTGGATGGCGAGGGCCGGTCTGGGGAGCTGCAGCCCCAGCGGCCCTACATGGAGGTGGTTAGTGACTTGTTCCTGGGCGGAGTCCCTGCAGACATACGACCTTCTGCTCTGACCCTGGAGGGAGTACAGGCTATGCCCGGCTTCAAGGGATTAATCCTGGATCTCAAGTACGGCAACTCAGAGCCTCGGCTTCTGGGGAGCCAGGGTGTCCAGTTGGATGCCGAGGGACCCTGCGGCGACCGTCCCTGTGAAAACGGTGGGATCTGCTTTCTCCTGGATGGCCATCCCACGTGTGACTGTTCTACCACTGGCTATGGTGGCAAGCTCTGCTCCGAAGGTAAGGCCCTCTTCCTTATTCCTATTCAGTGAGTTGGGTGAAGGCCAAGAGCCCTGGTAGAAACCAGCCATACCATTGAAGTGCATCTTTAGCTGCATGTTAGATAATCCGGTCCTTTCCCCAAGGAGCTAGTGAAAATCCTTTGCTTGCTCTCAATGGAAAATCCATCAGCTATCAGCAGGAAGAGAATCCTGGCTACTCAATCATGGGCTTCTTACTCAATATTTGGCTATACTCAAAGGGCTGGATGAAGTGACTGCAGAATCTGTGCCCAGCTCAGCTCCTTCCACCCAAGCACAGCTTAGCAGGATCAACACAGGGCAAGAAATCAATAGAAATTGGCAAAGTGGTTATCTCTGTCCCTCCTGATTCCTTGAGAATTGGACCCCTAGGGATGGATGGAAAACTCCCCATTACTTCCTCCTTATAATCCACAGCATAGGGAATGCCTATGCAAAGAAGAACTAGGGTGGATAGATTGCATGTCCATGCTTGGCCCCACTGTAAATCCAGTCCTTCAACTGTGCCCCTCCTCTCACACTATTCTGGGAGGCGTCTAGAGGATGGATGAGGCATCTGGGAATAGGCTGTCTTGCCTCCTCCTCCTAGCACTAGGATTTTTCATATGAAGTTCTTCTTTCCTGTTCTCTCCTCTCCATGTGTGAAAATGGTACAGGAAAGCACAGAAAATGAAAGGACCCTTGTCCAGCCAAGTCTCTGAGAGAGCTGGCAACACTTAGCATAGTCGTGGAGAACATCCCAAGTTCAACTACAATTTTCCAGGGAGAGGGAGGAAGGGACTCATACCCAAGGCTGCCCTCATCTTATTCATAAAATTTTGACTATTTGGGATTAGATCTGAGAAGTGGCCCAGGCTTTACTTAAAATCCAGATTTCTGGACTCATTAAAGGCCTAGATTTCAATAGGAAGGACCACTGAAATGACCAAGTGTATGAGAACTGGCCATATGGGTGTGTGTGTGGTGAGGCTGGGATGAGGAAGAGGCAAGGAAGTTACATTTACTCTCATCCTTTTGGAGTTAAACCCTGGATTCTTCTAGAGATGTTTGTGTAATCATCTCATGCTGTTCTCTTCATGAAGGTGTGGGATGGTATAGGGCATAATAGAGATCCTCAACTTTGGTTGCATAATAGGATCACCTGGAGGAGTTTAAAAACTCATAGCACGGACAATTTATTCAGAAGTTTATGGAGTGTGGGATCCAAACATCTGTATATTTTTTGAGGCTCCCTGGCGATTCTATTGTGCAGAACCAGCAGGCTGAGTGAGGTCAGGTCAGTAGGGCCAGGTAAGTGTCTTAGCACTGACTCCCAGGATCTCTTTGAGGTGAGGCCCCACTACCTTGAGATTTGTAATGAGAAATGGTTCTGCAGGTGTTCCTCAAACTTTCTCAGGAAGAGCTGAACCCCCAAAGCAGGTTGTAGTTGATAAGAACTTTAGTTACTAGGAGCTATTTAAACAATTTTTAAAATCAAAGCTAAATTTATTTCATAGGTGATGCGTACTGGAGACTAGGACACTTTCAGGGTCTTGTTGGAGGCCTCTGTGTCGGTCATGTATGGGCTATCACAGGAATGTTTCTGGGTCTCTGCTGCTTCTTTCTTCTACTGGGTTGGGCATCGTATTTCCTTTCCTTTGGATGGGCTACAGGCGAGGCAGATGCTAGACATGCATGTCATCTCTTCTGGCTTCTGTTCCCCCCACCCTCACCCCACAATGAACCCACTGGAAAAAGGGATGGGGAAGAGGGGCCAAGCCAACCCCAACCCACAAAGCCACGTCAGGAATATGGTTATTGAAGCACTTCTCACAAGCAGGTGCCTTCTGGAGCTGACTGCTGTTCCAAAGCGTCTTGGCTTTGGAGAAAGTCCTGCCTGAAGATGCTGACATGATCACTTGTTTTTCATTCGCCCAAAGGATCTGTTCAGTTCTCAGAACTTGTACTGAAAGCCGGAATTCTTCCTTTCTAGGGACCAGGGTGTTTGCAAGTGTGTTGCTAACTTGCTGATTATACTTGATTGCATTTTTTTTGTGTGTTTAAAAAGAACTCATTTCCTCTGGGCAGGTCTGGATCAGCACTTTTCTACAGGAAGAATCTCTATACTGTATATGTACACAATTAGTCTTCTTTCTTTTTGTTTTGGTGTGTGACCTATAGCAGAATTTCTTTGAAGCTGATTGAAGATCAATTTTTAATAGCTAAATGCAATATGTATATTTTAACAATAGTTCTTTCTACAGGGTTCAGATCATCTCGTGGCGATGGACTGATACTTCTATTTGTAGAAGGCAAGCAAACAGCTTAGATCATTTATTCCCCTGATACGTAAATAGAGTAAATAAACTGTGTAGTAAGAGGAACACTTGGTTGGCCTGGAACAGAGCTGTGCCGAGGTTGAGGTGAGGGCAGCTGTTGGGGAAGTATCAGAATTTACTGTTGATAACTTGGAGCCTGTTGATCCCGGTAATTGTCATCATGTCTAATCAATTACAAAAATGCATCACAGGCTTTTGGAGAATATCTGTTCTCGCTACACACAGTTAATTTTTAGAGTAAATGGGGAAAACTCACCTGTAACATATTAAGGGGGGAAAAAATCACAGCAGCTGCTGAGTGTCAAGTATATCTGCATAAAACAAGATAAATAGCCTAAAAAATGCCTACCCATTTTCCTCAAGATAATGTGGTGAAGCAGGTAGTGAGGATGCATCCATTCCCTCTTCCCCCTTTACATTGTACAGGTCACAGAACTGAAACCAGGGGACTTATTCCCAGCAGTCAGTCCCGTGTACCAGGCATCTGATTGTCCCAATGTGTAGGATGAGCCCTACCCTTTCATTGCATGAGGGCTTGCATTTAGTGTGGAAGATTCATTTTGTACTTTGTGCTTTAGCAGTTCAAGAGCAAGAAGAGTTGAGTGGGCTCCTGCAGCTTCAGATGGATGTGGTCAGGGCCTGTTGGAGGCCCTCTCTGTGGTCCATTAGCTCCTAGCATGCCGGCGGGGTTGATGTTTGTTTGGCTTCTCTGGTTTTCTACGCCTCAATGGCTCCAAAATGTCTCCATGTTGCCCTTTAGGAAGAATGCATATCTCTTTTATGGCCTCTGGGCTATTTTCATCCCCTGTTGGTGTCTTCTCTGGTTAAAACCCAGAGGGCACCAGAAATAGTTGCTGTGGGAGAGTTGGGCCTAGTGGGTAAGAGGTTCCAGACACAGTGTCTTCTCTGTTAGGTGCTGAAAGGCTATTGGCTCTAGTTGCAGACCCAACTCCACACAGCCTTCCTGGGAAGATTTCATTCTGAGACCCCCAATGTAATTTATGGTCACATTGCACATTCTGGCACATGATGGAAGGAAGAATAACTAGATTTTTACTTCTCTGTGTTATGTTTATGAATAAAATATTTTGGGGCTTAACTTCAGCTTTGTTAATGTTGCCATTTAATCTTGCCTTTTCAGTCATGTGCTTGGAGGATAGAAGAAGTGCAGACAATTCAAAATGATTCTAAAATGAAATATATCTGCTTTGGAATTTAGTTAAGCTAAGGAGCAACACAGTCACCTGGTGTTTGTTTAGCACAACCTGTCCTATTATGGGCAGCCCTGAAGCCCACAAGACAACGAGGAGGTATCTCAAGCTCCCGCTAGGGAGCAGGTCCCTCATGTGTCATTGAGAGCTTGTCATTACCTTGAAATGAGTTTAAAGTTAACTGTTTCTTTAAAAAAATATGAATGTGCATGTATTGAATTTCACAGCAATCTATGGTCATGAAGAATTGACTCATATCCAAGGTGTATAAATTTCAGTACTAATCTTCGTGAAGAGTTCATTTAGCATGATGTCAGCCTGTTGCAGGTGGGGTGGGGCCATGGGAAGATGGAGAAGGCCTCACAGGTTGATCTCAACTCCCAAATCTTGGTATGTGGGCCAACTATTTTTTCTGCTGACATGGGTAGGTGTACACACCAGAAGTTGCTTGTCTTGAGTCTCAGCTATAAAGTTTTTAGGTGTTGGGATCCTACAGTGAAGTATAGTGGTGAGTGTTGGTGACAGGGGCCAGACCCTTATTACAAGCACACTGTTGTATGGTGCCCATTAGTCTACTCCCCCAACCCTCCTACTGTCTGAAGCTGACAGCCTATACCAGTTGGTTTGATTGATGGCTCAATACCACTGTGTGGCCTTGGTATGCCTTCCTGAACGTTAATTTTAATCATTTCTCTTTTTATTGAGAATTTTGTGACTTTGCCCCCATTTCTCAAAGCCAGAACTAAGATGAAATGGTGTTTCAAGAGAAGATGCTTACCTGAGCATTTACAAGGGCCAAAGACATCGGATGCTGGAGTTGAGTACCAGTGATTGCCACAGCTGGATTCTCCTGTTTTGGACACGTGTAAAAACACAATCATCTTCCCTCCCCCTTCCCAGTGTACATCCTGCCAGAATTGTAACTGGCTTTGTTCCTAATCTGTGTTCCTGAAAGGCTTGCGGGGTGGGAGGACCGAGGGGAGTGCTGAGTAGTCAGAGAGTAAAGGCTGACTTCTTTCAGAATCTTTCTCCCTGGTATGGAGCCCGAAGCACAGAAGCAAGGCCTTAAAACATACACAAAGGAGGACTGCTGCTTCTGAGACATGGTGCCCCACGAATTCAGGCGTTAGGTTGGGACCAGCCCAGCCAGCAGGGGTTGTCACTAAATGGAGCCTGAATAGGGGTCTGATTGCTCCTTTTTCCTCCTCTCCTCCTGATTACCAAATGAAATTTCCTGGTATGCTGTATGCTAAATGGCAGAGCAGCCGCCTGCCACTTGCTCCAATAATCCCTCTTTTAACTGCGGAGGGAAGAGCAATTTTTTACACCTCCCCCCATAGCATCTCTGCCTCCTTCAGAGAAATAAGACCCTTCTTCCTTGTTCCCCCTCAATGGGGTGAGAACAGCCTTCCTCCTTTGCAGGGCCTGCACACCAGCTGCAGGGGGTGGGT